TATATCGCGACTCAAAGAAATATGATCAATGAAATAGAAGTCCGCAATACCAATCGCAATACAACTAATATGCAAACGCGCAATACTAATAATATGCAAATTCGCAATACCAATAATATGCAGATGATTATAGACATGCCTAGTTAAACGTGTCGCAATTAATAAAATTTAAATCATACTATATATAATAATTGATGATTGTATTATTATTGTAATATTTAATATCTTGGGTGGGAATCAAGTAAAAGACGAATGGATGAGTTTGATATTTTACTTAGTTTCAAAATAAAACAAGCTAATATTTACATCTTATCGTTATATCATTTTTATATATTTAATACAAATATTTATAGTTCTATAATACTGTATTTTTTTTAATACATATATAAATAAAAAAAAACCATTAGTTGTTGAATACAGTCAGCCCCCAAATGCATCCCCCTAAGTGCATGACCTCCTTAAATGCATATTAATTTTCTGGCCCAAATATATACTAAACACCCATAAATATTTATTATTATTTTTCTCTAAATGCAAGTCCTCAAAAGTTTGGTCCCGATAATATGCATTTATGAAGGGTTGACTGTATTTTAAAGAGAATTGTACATTATTAGAATGGTAGAATGGTTAACTTTAGCAGACTCTACATCAACTGTAAAAGAAATTCTTGGTATTGTCACATGCCAGAGAAGTAATTGCACTGTTCATAATCGAATATTTCGAATATTTATAATTAAAAATAAACTGAAGAAATCATAGTTAACTTACGAAAATCAAGCACAAGGTATCTATGCTTATTTTAGGCCCGGTTATCGTTTTTTTTTTTTTTTTGGCTTGGTATCTACTTATACGAAAACGTACTGTCGTTAATAGAAATAAAGCAGATGAATTTTTTTTTTTTAAAAAAAAAAAATCAATACCTTAACATTTGCTACCAAATATATCGATAAATCTTAAGGTTATCTTAAAGTTATATACAGTAGTAGATTGTTAGTTCATTGGACATTGTTAGCGAGAGTTAAAGCATTAAAATTTTTTTTTTAAAAAACAAATCAATCTGCTCGATTTCTATTGACAGTGACCTGTGGGTGGGTACATAAGCCTGATCTATTTTAAATCTATTATTCATTGATAAATACATGATAGCATTTGAGAAATGTTCATCGAACTTTGCCGAATGTTATCTACGCCAATTGGCCGTTTAAAATTGAATGTTGTCTGTAAAACCATATAAGTGCGTGAGAGGGAAAACCTGGAAATAGATTTAATGATTTACTATGATTGGTTACAGGTTTTCACTCTCACGTACCCATATGTTCACAAGAATTAAAGGTATCGTAGTATCGTATTATTATCGCATGCAGAAATAAAAACATTTTGAGAATTGTTATAAACTGTGTAATGCAAATGCGTAATCATTCCCTTTCACAAAATATGTATTCGTAAATCTGGAGCACAGAGTTATCGTATACAAAAATAAATTAAACGGAAAATATGTATATAGTCCGATTTAAAATTTTCATTATTATAGAACGATAAATGGAGGTTGATAATCCACATGGATCTTTTGCCAGTGTCAAGAAGAATGTTGAAGTGCAAGCTTACATTGATGGTCATGATTACTTTCAAGCTATCGAGAAAGCTATCAATGAGGCAAACAAAGAAATCTTGATCATGGGATGGTGGCTTTCTCCTGAACTTGTAAATTTTAATTACATTTGCTTAACTCGAGATTTATAAATGTCAACGTCCTGAACAAAAGTGCTTTGACTTTTTACATATAATAATTATTTTAAAATTGATGTAGTATCTCTTGAGACCTTGCGATAAAGATGACGAAGATCTTCGTCTTCATTCCATTCTCAAGAAAAAAGCTGAAGATGGAATCAAGATTTTTATTATACTCCACCAGGAACAGCCTGAATATTTTAAAATAGAATCTCAACATAGTGAAGACATGTTGCGACACGATAATATTTTTGGTAATATAGAATGATATAAATCATTTTTGAAACGAAATATATTATTTGAACGTTGTTTCTTAAAATAGTTCTGAGGCATTCTTCTGGAAACATTGCATCAGTCGCTTTCGATAATTTGATGGACTTTTTTGACATGCGTATTCCCAATGTTGACAGTATGAATTTGGCGTGGTATGTAAGTATATACGTTTTGACAGTTTCGTTATTACCTCGTTATTATTTATTTTTTTCACTTAAATAGCATCATGAGGTACGAGTTTTACTCCCTGCAAAAACTTTTAAATGTTATTTTTAAAAAAGACGTAATATTTAGTATTTTCATACTTATTATTCAGAAAGTCGTAATTATTGATCAATATGAAGCATTTATCGGTGGCTTAGATTTGTGCTTTGGTCGTTACGATACCAAGGAGCATATTCTTACTGAAGCTTCAACTATTTCTAAAAGTAATGAAATTTGGCCTGGGAAGGATTATTACAACCCCAGAATTAAGGATCTTGAGTTTGGTATGATTAGATCACAGTTATTTAACTAAAATTGATCTTAACATACTTTCAGATATCACTCTGCCAATTTGAATATTTTAGCATACATATACATTATGATTTGACTTTAACAAATTGTCTGGAAATTTGTAGTACGTGTATGGAAAGAGTCTTTGATTAAAAAGTCAAAAGACGCAAGGATGCCATGGCATGATGTTTCCGTCTCTTTTGTACGTCCTTGATAATATATTATATACACAAGTGTTAAATATTGTTAAGAATTTAAAGTAAATGCTTCTTATTCATTAAAATTTGCAGAAAGGGAAGTGCGTGCTGGATCTCGTTTCGCATTTTAATCAACGATGGAAGTTTATTAAAGGAAAACAAATCAACATTTTCACTCCAGAAATTCATAGTTTTCCAGAGAACATTTCTGAACTTAATATAAATTCTAGTAATATTGGTACCTGTAATGTCCAAATTCTTCGAAGCTGCGGAAACTGGAGCAATGGCGTTGACATTGAGGTGATTTTAAATATCTAGACTTTTTCCGATTAATGTAGATCAAATGTTAAATCACGCCTCGACAAAACAAATGCTTTAATAGAAGTCCATACAAAATGCTTATATTGATATGATTTATAAAGCAGAACACTTCATTTACATCGAAAATCAATTTTTTCGTATGTACTTAATTCGTTTAAATCACTTACTCAGAGAACTACTTATAAACCTTGCTCCATATCTTCCAGTTACATCTACTAAAAAAGAGAATGAGAAGCATGCTAAAAACTTGATTGGTGAGGTAATTCCAGTAAAGTATCTGTAATAAATTTCAATCTCATGTATCGCTAATGAGATTATAAATAATGTTTAGGCAATCGCTGCTCGCATTAAAAAGGCAATTGAAGAAGAAAAAGAAGATAATCGATTTAGGGTAATTATAATATTACCTTTACTCCCAGAAATCCCAGGTGAACTGGATTCCAGTAACCAACAATTATGGTAAGCGGTAAAACCAATTTAGATTTCAAAACTCTTAATGCATTAGTTAAGAGACTGACATGTATAAAGTCAAATTGTCCGCTATCAATATCAATCTATCCGAGGTTTGATGAACACTATTTCAGACATCTGCAAGGAGAAGGGAAAGCTACCAGAAGATTACATTACATTTTATGGACTTCGTAATTGGAGTATTATTGGGAAAAATAAACAAGACTTATTCAATTCAAGAAATCTCAAAGACATCCCTACCAAAAATATTGTCGCTGAGCAGGTTTATGTTCATTCTAATATCATGATTATTGATGATAGGAGAGTAATTTGTGGTTCAGGTGAGTCGTCCTTTACTGCTTAGTAAAACTCAATTTTGGTTGCACACTTTAATAATAAAATGGTTAAATTTTGTTAAATTTCTGAATTCACTCAACTTATATTCAGCAAATTTGAATGACAGATCGATGGCTGGTGATTGTGATTCTGAAATTGCCGCTATAATAGACGATACTAAAATGGTAGATTCCAAAATGAATGGCAAATTGGTAATGAAAATTTTCGTTTGTAGCATTACAATAAATTCTATATTAAGCTAAAAAAAATTTTTCACTTTAGTGGAAAGCGAGTAACTTTGCTTACACACTTCGAAAAAAACTCTTCATGGAACATATCGGTCTATCCGATGATGAAGACCATTTGGTGGTAGATCCTATATGTGATTCCTTTTACAAAAATTTATGGCTCAACAAGGCCAAATACAATACTAAAATTTTTAGAAATATTTTTCATTGCATTCCTGACGATAATGGTAACTATTATCATTATTATTATTACTACTATTTAGAATCAATAATTTTTTTTTGTTACAAAACTAATATGTATACCTAACTTATTTTTGCAGTTTTAAGTTGGAAGGCTTGTAAAGATTTTGTTTCCAAGTCGAATCCGGGTCATATGTGTTCTAATCATACAATTGGCGAAGTGGCAGAACAGCTTGCAAGAGTTTATGGTCATTTAGTACAATTTCCTTTACAATTTATGAAAAGAGAAAAGTTTTTTGATTAATATTATAAGTGATTCTCGATATAAGAAAGTTATTAATAAGCTCTCGATATAAGAAAGATTTGTAAAATTTTACTATGAACCTAACCACCTTTCTTATATCGAGATTCACTTGTATAAAATCGTCGATAAAATTTTTATTGCACTTTTGGATAACCTAATAATTATTTAAATTTAATAGACTTTTTGATGTTTAACATCATGCTTTAGCTTGGATTTAACATCTTTATATGATCTGATACAGAAATTATGAAATGTACCTATGGTATTCAACACCATATACATTACTTTTATTCTTTTCATTATGAAAATTTAATGTAAAATTAGGTGTTAGAGGTTAAGTTACAGTTTGAGTTAAAGGAAGCACTGAGTATTTTATTTTAAACTCCAAATATTGATTGCTATATAAAAATTATAAGGTGCATTTTTAGTAAACCCGACATAAATTTACCATTATGTTTTATTGATCATTTTTCACAGTTCTTTTATTTAAAATTGTAAATTGGCTTGTAAATTTATATTCCACTTTGTTTTCCTGTAATATTTAGAGCCAAATAATCAGTAAAAAAGGTCAATTTTATTTATTGTCTCAAAACATGCATGTTATTTACAATATACATGTAAAAAATTAACAAAATATTTTTTTTGACGTTTAATTAAAGCACTTAATATGTATAGACATATATGGGGTGCGGACAATAGAAACAGCCCATTTTTACATTTTTTTGAAAATTGAGTTTTTATTAGATTCAGACATGATTAACATTTTTCAATTATAAATGAAAGTCGATTTGCATAATAAAAAATCAAGATAATGTAAAAGAAAAAT